ACCTGCTGACGTCATGCCTGCCAAGCCAAAGCCTGATCACGTCATGCCTGCTAATGTCATGTCTGCCAAGCCAGAGCCTGCTAACGTCATGCCTGCTACGCCAAAGCCTGCTCACATCATGTCTGCCAAGCCACAGCCTGCTCACGTCATGCCTGTTACCCCAAGGCCTGCTCACATCACTTTTACTACGCCAAGGCCTCTTCACATCATGCCTGCCAAGCCAGAGTCTGCTCATGTCACGTCTGTCAAGCCAGGGCCTGTTCACGTCACGTCTGTCAAGCCAGAGTCTGTTCACTTCACGTCTGCCAAGCCAGGGCCTGCTAACGTCATGCCTGCCAAGCCAGAGCCTGCTCACGTCATGCCGGTCACTCAAGAGATTGTTCACAACATGGCCGCCATTCAAGAGCTTCGTCGCAAGATGGCCGCCACACAAGAGTCTCTTCGCAAAATGGCCGCCCTTCCAGAGTCTCGTCACTTCTCAGCTGATCTTCCAGAGTCTCGTCACGTCTCAGCTGATCTTCCAGAGTCTGCTCACGTCAAGCTTGCCACACCTGAGTTCCCGGCTAGGATGGGAACGCCTGATGCTTGAGCATCGCCTCGCCACGGCCTTCATGTTACGGCCAAGGAGGCCACTTATGAACTCACTGTCTGTCCTGCCACGGCCATGGAGGCTGTTCATGAACTCGCTGTCTGCCCCGTTACGGCCAAGGAGGCCGTTCATGAACTCATAGTCTGCCCTGTCACGACCAAAGAGGTCATTTATGAACATTCTGTCTGTCATGTTGCGGCTATGGAAGCTGCTCAAGAACTCTCTGCCTGTCCTGTCAGAGTCAAGTGGTCTGTCCATGTTTCTGCTCCGCCATGCCTTCCTGTTCTGCCTGCTCCGCCATGGCTCCATGCTCCTCTGGATCTTCTCCATGGTCCAGTGCCTCCAGTGCTTCATGGTCCAGACCCACCTCTGCTCCATTGTCTGTCACTGATCCATGGCCCAGGTCCTCCAGTATTCCACAGTCTGCCACTGCTTTACAGCCCAGGTCCCCCTCTGCTCCATTTTCTGTCACTGCTCCACGGCCCAGGTCCTCCAGTGTATCACTGTCTGCCACTGCACCATGGCCTTGCTCTCTGCTCCACACCACTGTTCTGCGATTCTGACTCTGTTCCCCGGCATGGGCATAGCCCTCCATCCCTTCCCCTATTCCGCCTCTGCTCTACCACCCTCCTGGACTTTTTGGGTTTTGTTTATGTTTTGGGGTGGGTTTTTCACTAGGGCGTCAAATGCTGCCCTTAGAAGGGGGATATGTAAGGTCTGTTTTGGGTTTTGTTTTATGTTCTTGTTTGTAATGACAAGAATGTCTTTTATTTTGTAATTTTTTGCCTGTCATGTTGCTGCTATGGAAGCTGCTCAAGAACTCTCTGCCTGTTCTATCACGGTCAAGTGGTCTGTCCACGTCTCTGCTCCGCCATGGCTCCCTACTCTGCCTGCACCGCCATGGATCCCTGCTCTGCCAGCTCCGCCATGGCTCCATGCTCCTATGGATCTGATCCATGGCCCAGGTCCTCCCGTGTTCCACAGTCTGCCACTGCTTCACATGCTACGTCAAGTCTGTTCAAGTCAAGTCTCTGTTTGGATTATGTTTGGATTTTGGATCACTTTGTAAATAAACTGCACATGGGTTCTTCAACTTGCCGTTCAGTGGACTACTCTTTACAAATACCCTGCATGAAAACAGTTTAACCACCAATGTATTCACCAGAAAACTCATTGTGCAACAGATTATGTGGTTATTTGGATATGTGTACTAAAGGAAAAGAGATAAAATTAGCAAATGGAGATTTACAAATTTTACACAAGGCTGGCAACACAGTAACCAGAAACTGAATGTTATCATAATTCAAAGTATTGTCAAGGTACTGAATTGTATCATATTGAAATATGAAGCATGTGTGCATATTTATTTATTGCATATTATCATTTGGATAATGCTGGGTTGAAATGGTTTGGGGGCAAACATCTGCAGTTCTACTGTACAAAAAAAATTGTAAATTAGAATAAATCACTGGCATATATCACACATCGATCTAATTAAGACGTACGTATAAGTTTACTTACGTATTTAATTATTACTGGCTGAATAATCATATGTAGATTTTATATAAATACTGTATTGTTGTATGGATTTCAAGCCAAAAGCATTTATTGGAAATACATTTTTTATTAAAAAGAAGGTATTATGCATAAATGTGCTGCAGCAGGCAAAAGTAGTTGTTTGCTCTCTAACAGCATTATAAAAATCAAATTGCATATGATAAAATAAGATAATGGCTATATTTAAAAAGAAATATTTAGTCTGCATGTACAGTAACATTAGGTGTATACATTTTTGTTGCAGTTTATTGGTTTGTTAGTCTTATACATGTTTGTTTTGAAAAAGTTTGCACTGTTTAGTGTAATAATGTTCACTCATCAATTTAGTTAGCTCAGGGAGTAGAAGATTAAATTAAAGCCTGAATGATTTGTGGCAGTTTTCTTATACTTGACTCTTTATGCGAGTTGTGAGTGGTTCACAAAACTGAACATATGGGGTAACGTCATGTAACTTTCTGCTCAGCTGTCATAACACAATCTCTCTGTTGTTCCCTGTTGGTGTCAAAAATTGTTCAGGAATGTTTTGAAGAACCTGATATGAGTTCAGGGTGTTGACTTGGCCTCCAAATTTCCCAGATCTCAATACGATTGAGCATCTATGG